TCTGCTTCTGCTTCTGCTGCTGCTACTACTACTACTACTACTACTACTACTACTACTACTACTACTACTACTACTACTACTACTCTACTACTACTGCTACTGCTACTGCTACTGCTGCTGCTGCTGCTGCTGCTGCTGCAGTTGCTGCTGCTGTTGCTGCTGCTGCTGCTACTACTACTACTACTACTACTACTACTACTACTACTACTACTACTACTACTACTACTACTACTATTGCTGCTGCTGCTGCTGCTGCTGCTGCTGCTGCTGATGATGATGATTATGACGATGATGATGATGCTGATGCTGCGGCTCCTCGTGCTGCTGCTGCTGCTGCTGCTACTGTTGCTACTGCTGCTGCTGCTGCTGCTGCTGCTGCTGCTGCTACTGCTACTACTACTACTACTACTACTACTACTACTACTACTACTACTGTTGTTGTTGCTTCTGCTGCTGCTGCTGTCCCTCCTCCTCCTCCTCCTGCTGCTGCTGCTACTGCTTCGTGCGAGTTTGCGCGTTAGGTCTCGCCGCGATTGTGACATATCCTGCTTGCGCGCTGAACTCGCGCTCTCGCGTCTCCACGTGTTACAATTTATCTATGTCGATGTGTACCTACATGTCTGCGTGTGTTTTAATTATTACTTATTGTTTAAGCTTTCGCAATCCAGATACGCGATGCGCCGGAAATAAACTATTAGCAAATCACTTTCGACCTTCTGTGGCATATTTTACTTCATTTTTTATTAAGTTTTATCATATTATTTGGGCGTCTATATGGGCATATGTGCCTACGAATCAAGTATTAAAATTTCGTGTAATAATTTTAGGCCATGTTTGCTACTTATACCAATTATTTTTTGTTGTTATTAAAAATATTATTATTTCAGTTGTTCAATGTGATCAATAATGATGTGAAATAACAGTCAATGCTTTGTCGTAAGATTCACGTCATCTGACGCATGCGCAGTCGGGTCTGCTGACAAACTGATATTTCACTAGTCAATCATAATCTGCGGAAACATCGTACAACTTATAAGCATTCGGTGGTAAAAATTCGCCGTATTTTAATTGCGTTTTTTTTTCTTTCTCATTACTTGCAGCCAATATTGAAGCAGCGATCACCATCCCCGTGACAGTTTCGATGAACCAAGGTAATGCATCGGGCAGCAAAGAAAGCACGACAGCCAAAATCAGTTACAAGGGAACCTTCACAACAACCACGTCGCCGGCGTCAGCCACCGGCTCCCTGAGCACGTTCCTCTTCCCGGATAAGAGCTTTCTCAACCCACTGCTGAATTTTCTTTCGCAAGGCACCGCTGCCCAGGTGACGCAGCAGCCGGCAGGTGGCACCATCAGTATGACCCAAGGACCGGTGCCGTCGCCGCAGCAGAGCGAACAACAACAACAACAACAACAACAACAACAACAGCCGCCGCATCACCAGACGCCGACACCGAGCGAGTTCTCGCCGGCCAGTAGTCATGACTACCAGATAGGCATGGAGACGGGGAGCAACGTCAGCACGGATTCGACGTCGCAGAGCCGACCGGCGAGCTTCGCACAGCACTACACGAGCTGCCAGGACATGGGCAGCCTCACGAACACCGTCTACACGCAACCGGCGGCCGTCTTCACCGACAGCACGTTCATCAGCTTCCCTCTGAAGCAGCCACCTTCGTACAGCAGCTGCGCGGCGGCCGCCGCCGCCGGCAGCAGCAACAGCAGCAGCCAGATAGATCTGCAGACGGCGCTGGCTGGTGCCAACCTTCAGGCGTCCGACGCGATCGCACCCGAACTGAGCATCAGTGGAGAAACGTTCACTACCAGCAGCAGCGGTGCTACACCTACAAAATACCAGTGGCCTATCATAACGAGCCCTTCCGGGTCGGCCACGCACTTAACTGCTAGTCTGCTGCCGGACTTTGCCGGCACGTTGCAAATGTCTCAGATCGCCATTCCGCGCGTGCCGAAAACGGAGCCCGTCGACTGTCTGTTCATCCAGACGAGCGAGTACAACGCCGACACCAGTAAGGGGCACGAGATTCTAAGTCAGGCTTACCAGAACAGTCCCGGCCCGATGAAACTGCTGCCGGTGAAACCGCGTAAGTACCCGAACCGACCGAGCAAGACGCCCGTGCACGAGCGACCGTACGCGTGCCCCGTCGAGCTGTGCGATCGGAGATTCTCTCGGAGCGACGAACTGACGCGACATATCCGCATACACACGGGCCAGAAGCCGTTCCAGTGTCGCATCTGCATGCGCTCGTTCTCGCGCAGCGACCATCTGACAACTCACGTTCGCACGCACACCGGGGAGAAGCCGTTCAGCTGTGATATCTGTGGACGCAAGTTTGCCCGCTCGGACGAGAAGAAGCGACACGCCAAGGTGCATCTGAAGCAGAAGATCAAGAAGGAGCACAAGGTGGCGGGTCCGGCGAGCGCCGCCGCCGCCGTCGCCACCGCATCAAGTTCTCAGGAAGTTCAACACCTTCAACAACAACAACAACAACAACAACAACAACAACAACAACAACAACAACAACAACAACAACAACAGCAGCAACAGCAGTCAATACAGCAGCAACTATTGCCTGGCATGCTCAGTCCCGACTCGACCACCATCTCCCATCCAATCATTATCCCCATCACCACGTCTTCGTAACTATACGTAGCCAGCCAAGCCACATGTGTGTTATAACTCCCTATACGGTATTTATTGTAGCGTAGATGTTTTATTGAGAGTCCGTACGTACTACGTATACGTACGTTTACACGTTTTGTTTTGTTGTCTTCGAAGAAGGGTCGACAGCACGCTATCGCAATGATCTTGACGCGTGGGTATCATTTCAATTTTGCTTACAGGCCTCCCCCCCCTCCCCTCTCGTCTTGCGCGGGATAATAGTGATAAGTGTCGAGTCATTGTCACGTGATCGAGTACGCGATCCCTCGTGGAAAAAGGAGGGGGCGTGGTTACAGTCACTCATCTGTCAATCCCATTAACTACTATTAAGCTGTTCGAACCTAACCCGAGTGATTTCCATGCAGATTTTATTAATATTGATTGCCGTACGTGCGCGCGCGCGCGAGAGAGAGAGAGAGAGAGAGAGAGAGGAGGGAGGGAGAGAGAGAAAGAGAGGGTCTATATAAACTTCATCGCGCTCGCGGCGGTTGTTCGCGGCTTCGACGGATACTACGCTTTTTGCCCCGATGACGCTGTAGCAGGCCTTCCTGCAATGACTACGGCGCAAATCCCGATTTTCGTTGATAGTGAGTGTTACTGCGAGCGGTCTGCCGGTTTCGTTGTTGTGCGTGCAGCGAGCGTTCTTTAAAAGGCTTGCACGCTCATGGCTACGCGCACGCTAGTATATCGTTCCGTGTTGCCTCTTGTATTATTACCGGTTCGTCTGTTTGTCGTGGTGTGGTGCACCGTCTATCGCCGTGTGTGTGTGTGTGTGTGTGTGTGTGTGGTGCCCGTGTGTGTGTCGGTGGCGTGTGGTGTGATCCGTGCGTGTGTGTGCGTCGTGCGATATTCGTGTGTTTGGCAATGTATTAGTTAATCTCTCTGGCTCTGTTTCTCTGATTTCTCTTCTCTATCCTGTCCTCGCCTCTTCGTTCTCTCTTTTTTTGTGGTCTCGCTCTCGCTTTCTCGTTTCTTCCTGTCTTCTCGCTTTCCCCTCTGTTCCCTCTCTCCTCTTATTTGCTTGGTGTGTCTTCGCGCGTTTCTCTCTCTTTGCTCTCTCGTCTCTCTCTCTTGTGTTTCTCTGTCTCTCGGCTATCTCCTTGTCTCTCTCTCTCTCTCTCCGTGTCTTTCTCGCGCTCTCTCTCCGTGTCTTTCTCGCTCTCTCTCTCCGTGTCTTTCTCGCTCTCTCTCTCTGTAAGATAACAACTGCGATAGATAAATGCTAGCCATGCTTCTTTGTCAGTAGTCTGTTTTTACCGGTGGCCTACCGCCTGTGTGCGTATGCGTTATAGTTTTCTGCAGAGACAATGATTTTAAGAACTTATTATTATCGAGTTATATATTATTATAAAGAATCATGTTACGTAATTATGTTTATTGTCGTTCAACTGTTATGTGATAGATATATGTATTGTTATGTACTACAATTATGATGTTCCATATATATACACACACATATATATTTTTTTGATTTTTAAAGCAAAATATGTTTGTACAGTGGAAATGTTTCTTGGTTAATATTTGTCTTTAGTCCGTGGTCATGTCTTAAAGTCATGGGTTTTTTTTCCCCTTGGTGTTCCTTAATTACGAATAGTATATTCTAGAACTGAACCTTTCCCGTGATTATTGTTACTTATATATATATGAGTTATTATATATATTATTATATATGTATATATATATTATATATATATATATAAGTAATGTACTTGTTTACTTTTTAATGTTGCATGGCAACCATGAGAATTGCAATATAGTGATTAACTATAAAGTACTCATAAAATAAATGGTCTTCAGGTTGCTGTTTTATATCACACAAATTGTAAGAGATGAATTCTTCTTTGTTCCTACTTAACACAGCGTGCAGGCCGAATATATAGTCATATATAGTGGCTTGTCGTTGCGCCACACCAACAAGACCTATACGCATCATATATGCATGTCTATAATCATATGGTTACGGCGATGAGACATAGGAAGTAGCTGTGCGGGTTTTCTTAATCCTCGGACGTAAATCGAACTCGTCATCGATGATTTGAGCATCTAAGGGGGCGAAGAAGGGCATTTGCGTCATTCTGCTGGCTTCCTTCGTAAAGAGCCGGATTCTTGCACCGACCCCGACAGCGATTAACCCGGAATATGCGAACGAATTGCTTTTGTTAATTGCAACAGCATCCGGCCACGGTGACTAGAAGATTCCGTGTATTAACTGCGCCACTACGACGCGAAGATTATGCTTTCAATGTATAACCCAATATAAAAAAACGATCTATGATGAATATAATTATAATAAATTATTTTCCCCAACAAAAATCTTAACGGATGGTACATAGGCCAGATGCCAAAGCTACCACTGCGTGTATATAAAATAATATAACTATGCTAAAAATACACAATAGTCTTCTTACTGATTTTCTCTTATTAACAGTCATCAATTTAATCCTTGGTAATGTTTTTAGCAAGATTCTTATATCTCGGTTAATTCGAACTGCCAGCGGCACGCAAACGACGTCACAAATACACATGATTTCTGAATACTACAAAATTTCCAGTTAAAACTCTCTTCCCCTGTGATGGTCCAATCTAGACGCAAAAGATGTTTCATACGCTAACATTGCTACATACTACACGCAATACGGAGATAGTGTGAGGGGGGAACTCATACTGGGAAAAGCTTGCTGACAAAGGGGCGCTCAGCAGAAATGCGTGGGTGGCTGGAACATAACAACGCTGCTTAGAAAATCAATCACGTTAACCGAACCAGCCCGAGGAAGACAGATCCGAATCTTAAAACAAAATCTGCAAACTCAACAGTAGAATCCAATGGGAATAGGGGCTAAGTGCATCTGCATGTAAATACAGTAATTGTGCCATTGAAAGAATGCCATACGATTAATGCAACAAAGATAGATGGACTATAACCGTTCTGTTTAAGGGTAAACGAAGACACGTGACTTGCTGTTGAGTATTGAGTATATAATGGCAATTTTTAGAACACTTGCTCTGTGAAAAACATGCAAAACGAAAGCTAAGTAAATAGCCAATGCACCAATTCAATACTAATGCAATGTAATTTTGTGTGTAGTCTTAATTCTAATAAACCTTCCCGCTACTACTATAAGGATGCATGCGCACCCTTCGCAACGGAAGCGAGATGGGTCGAGACGGAAGGGTCGAGAAAAAGATACACACCCTTCTTCCTTTTGAGGCCATTTTTTCTTAATGGATAATACAGATTGAAACGCGAAATTTAATTAAGTAACAAGTGCTAACGACGAATTGCTTGAGGTAGATGATTATGTACGAAAAATTTACAATCTACGAATGCATATACATGTTTAATATTACAAATATGACACAACGTGCATTTTACAACACAGTGCGATTTTAGATATATAGGCCTATACAAACACTGAAACACATGTTTTTGTATATATATATTATGGTGCGAGCTTCCCTGCATAATGCAGTGCACTAATCTATCTGTATGCGCGAATGTAGGCCTACATGTCTGGCTCTACGAAAATGTAACGATAAACCGATAAAATGTCTCATATCACCAGTTCCATACACGGCCTAATATTTTTGAACAAATTCATTTATCTATTTCAATGTCATATCAACCAGTGTCGATGGCATAATGCTGAAAATGCGTGTTCATAATGATTGCTTCCGATAGATGGCAGAACGAGGTCATTTTTGATTTCTGCGGGTGTTGCTATTCTCCCATTCTCCCAACTCATGAGTGCTCCTGACACGCTGAAGGGGTCGTTGTCGTATCAGGTACCTACTACATATATGTACCCGAGGTACATATATGTATACACAAAGTGTACCAGACTTGTACTACAAAAGTGTACCCTAACCCTAAACATACCTCATATAAAAATATAATACTAAACAACCTAAAACTAGCTCGGGTACATATGTAGTACTTGATACGACAACGACCCTTCGTGCATAAATAAAGTGTTCATCTATACGCCTTGCATTCTCCCATAGATAGCCGCATTATCACATGGGACGCAGGAATGATTATGTGTTCATGCATATGAGTTGTTGGAGGGAAATTACCGTAGAATATAGTAGATGAACCTGCATTTCGTATAATTGCCTATATATATTACCAAGAGTAGATAATAACAAGAGTTACACACCCGATTCCCGCATTTTTAACCGATTTTTCTCATCAAAATTTGCAACCAATAAAGAAGCAAGTGTATACTTCCTCAGCTTATTATGACCACTAATCACTCACCTTTGTGGTGCTGATATTCGTTTACATATATTTGCTAGCGTATTGCTGTAAATCGTAATCTGGCACGAGCTGACTTAGCACAATTTACCGCTATTGTGTAGAGGTGTTAAGCCAAAATTTGAAGCTCTCTCTCTCTCCCTCCCTCCCTCCCCCCTCTCTCTCTCTCAATCTCTCTCCTCTCTCTCTCTCTCTCTCTCTCTCTCTCTCTCTCTCTCTCTCTCTCTCTCTCTCTCTCCCCTGGATATGCACCTGTCAGATAACGAACAATTTGTTCATTGAATTAATATTGGGGAAATAAATAAGCATTACACAGCAAATTACTTCAAAACAATCGTTTATAATTTAAGTTTTAAACAATGCGATGGAAAATTTCATTCTCAACACACCAAATGCGCTGTGGGTATATATTAGGATTTGCATTGCAAACTACTTGCATGCACACATTCGAAATTTTGAAGAAAACAGTTATTTCTTATACAACGATGATGACTACATTGAATTACGTTCATTAAACAAAAGCTGCACTATCTTGAAACTTACTGGGTAATATAAGAGGCTTCTTTATACATCCGTTCATAAAATCAACAATCAGCATCGAAATATGTTCACAGCCAACTGCAAACAAAAACAAAGCTATGTGAAGCTATTCATTATACATCTATATTGTTCAAGTCTTGATGAAATGCAAGTCATGTGCACAGTCACTGGTTTGTTTAATCATCACGAGTTTTGGTCAATTTTGATCAAACTTGGCAAGTCAATATCACATCAAATATCAGTATATATATACAAACGCGCACAAACACACGCCCGCACGCACGCACGCACGCACGCACACACGCATAGATGAAATAAAATTCTAGACTACGTATTTAATTAATTTTTAACAATGAGGATTTTTAACAACTATTGATTTGGGTGCATCTTGGCACTAATACTGATTGAAAAGGTTTTTAGGGAAGGGGGTGAAATGGTCTTGGGTGGCTAAAATGTAAAAAATGAATTACATGCATATCTGATAAATACACATACACAATTAACCTACATATACATATACATACAAGGTAAAAAGAAATACTACAATCACTAAACTTAACGTCTTGCTCGGCCAACATTCTTTAAAAATTTGCCATACAAGCAACCGAGTCACTATAGAAGTTTCTAGAACATCGTATAAAAATCTCATAAATACAATTAGTATAGAATTAATGGTAACATATTGCAATTCACTGTAATCAGGTATTGTATTATTTTTGCTAACACCAGGTTCCAGATGTTTATGTAGTATTCAGCATAAACGCACATTTATCCCCTACATGGCATTCTGACGGTATAAATTAATAATCTTTCACTAGAATGCACACTGATCTGCAAGCTGAATAAGACTGAAAGTTTGCCTTTAATAAGATACATGACATGAATTCGTCCGCAAATACTTTTCCATGTACTACGTGTAGCGGTTCTACAACCATGTTCTATTGTTGACGTGCACGCGTCGTTCTCTTTGTGCAGCGAAGATCGTGGTCACATACTGGCTAAGCAGTCGCTCGAGCAACTTCGCTCGTATTCTTGTTATGAATTTCGCAGACCACGCAATCACACTACATCTATTACATAACTTTTTCCAATAGGCCATTAGACAGCTCAGCCTCGTAAAGTAAATCACAGCGAGCCACAAGCATCATCCAAAGCACAAGTGATGTCCGGCCCTTGGTACGGCGCACTATCGCACCAGAAGTCCGACGGACACGAAATCTCCGTCAGCCAACAAACGTCTTTCGCCAACGGATTGTCCATTTTCAAGAAAACCTCGCCGAAGTAGTGGCAGTCTCGTTCACCGTCGATGTCGTACGGAGGAGCTAGAACGTCGAGGAAAGCGGCGGGCCCCGAGCGCGCGGCTATCTCGTGAATCCCCGCGACGGTGGGCGAGAGCACGCATACGTCACTATTCACGTCCACCTCCGTGTCCGAATGCAGGAAAACGGGTTTCACTAGATTGGCGAGAGAGTTATCGAGTTGAACTTGAAGTTCCAGCTGCTGCCGTAGTGCTGGCGAGACCTCGTTGAAAGCTCTAGCGCGTAACGACCCGTGAATTACTTTCAGGAGGCCATGCATTCCCGGGTGGTCATGCAACGGTAGTCGTGCACCATCCTTGAGAACGAATATTCCGATCGATATTTCGCAATCTTCGTGAATTTTGACGTATGTCACAGGTGGCATTTCATTCGATCGAGGATTGAAAACCCTTGTGTTTCTAACTAGATTAAAGTCGAAGTTTAGGTCTTGCGCCTGAATACTGTTGATGAGAGTTCGTGATTTGTTTAGATTTTCTTGAAACGCTGGATTACTTACTGGCAATCTGAATGTCTTAGAAACTTGTCGCGCTAGTCGTTGAACTTTCGCAAGAGGACCAGCCATATTGTCGTTCATCTTGTTTCGTCTTGCGTCTCGCGAGAGAGCGCGAGACCAAATGTAAACATGAACGAAATCTACCTCGAAATGAAATGTGTTGATCAGTAATCAGTAATCAGTAATGATCACCATGCACGTGTCGTTTTACATTTTGTTGTAATATATAGAGTTGTATTTTTCAATAAAAGCAATAATTTGACTCGCACGTGATAAGAATTTCCGCCGTTTTGGCAGCACGAAACGTCAAAAGATGAGTTGGTAGGCCTAATTCAGATATTTCTAGTCTGAGTTTCCATTGACCAATGCCAATGCCAATGGCAATGCCATCACCGACGATTTTTGGTGGATTTGGTGTGGATTTTGGTCAGAGGAAACTCGGACTACGCTATCTCATTCTCATACTTGTCATAGTCATAGACATTTACTCTAGCCTTATTTCTAGTATTACTATTACTACTACTAGCAGGAGTAAGATAATATAGGTAAAACTAAAAGATAGGTAAAAGATATAGGTAAAAGATATAGGTAATACTAATAGATAATATAAGATAATATATCCTATATTATCTTACTCCTGCTATTAGTACTACTACTACTAGTACTACTACTACTAGTAGCCCGACCAGGCTGTGCGACGGATTGTCTATACAGCCTGACACCCTTCCATACAAAAAACCTATCACCTCTGCAGATCTAGATGAATAACTCTGTATATCTCAAATAAAACTATTCCATTACCACCTTTGACTTGCCTTGTTTAAAATATAAACGTTAACTCACAGTTGTCCTGCTTCTAAACTAGAATGTATCTCTTAATTCACGGTATAATCTGCTAATTCTCACAGCATATCAACTTTCAAATCAGCTTTAACCGCCATGTTTAGCAAGGCACGGAAAACCTGAAACGGAATAGACTTGCTAGAAAATACTACAGAAATAGTACGATGGCTCTCAAGACAATTACACACCAAAGCAAATGAAACGATGTTCAGAAATGTCTGGGCCTTTTGTAAAAAACCTTAGATGACATGTTCTCGGATGTAGGGGTGGTTTACATGACGACCGCAGATCGTTTAATTTCCTTTGTTCGATCCATTGCGGATTTTAGTCACAGTCGGAATGATAGCAAACATGGTGGCAAATTCATAAATTTGGTTGCATTCGTCTCAAAAAGTTGCTGTAACCCCGTAAGTACCCAGCGCATCGTAGCGCACTGATGGTTACAAGAAGGTGGACGTTTACGGATTCATTTGGTATATCACATGTGTGGTGTTCTTTGGCGATACTTGGAACATAAGGCAACTACGTGTTTAGCTGCAGCCACGGTTTGAAACGGTATCCTAACCCTAGCGATACCGTTTCTTGGAGCTACTACTACTACTAGTACTAGATACAATAATGTAACCCAAACACATGCAGGATAGGGTTACAACGCGTCCCTATCCTTTTGTGTGGAGGAACCCCTGAGTGAATCACTCAGGGCGGTTTGCTGGTGCGTTTTCAGAGAATAGAACTTCCAAACTGGGTTTATTCTCAACACGAACCTTTCTCCGCTATCTTGGAACTTACTATGTATCACAGTACTCTGTATTAAAGCCTCACAATGCGCATCCAAACGCTAATTTCTACAGTACTAGACT